CTCATTTTTCCTCTTTATTTATTGTATAACTTACATAAATCTCATAGTGTAAAACCTAAATTACCTTCTATCCCTATTGTTTTTCTAATTACATAAATTTCATGTTTATGAGGCATTTCGGATACATAATTAAGGATCCGGATACATTTTTGTTGATACATTATGTATCAATCTGTTGCACTTATTAAGGAAAAAAAACTGAAAAATCAAATTAAGATCTCATAGTATCCATCTGTTGCACTAATTAAAGGGAAAAAAATTTGAAAATCAAATTAAAATCCCATAAATTGTGCTATTTTATGCCAAATTATTGTCAAGAATTCAATCATATAGTGTAACAAATCAAAAAAATCAAAATTTAAATTTCTTCTTGTTCATCGTTCTCTCTATTTCATAAAAAAAATTGTCGAAATTTTGGATAAGTAAGGTGAGTTATGAAGGATACAAAAGTGATAGAATTGTTGTTGGACAAACAATGTGAATCTTCAAGTTTATCGAATATCCTTTCGATTTTGATTCAAGATGGTCGAAAATTTTGAGATTCAAAATTCTTTTCCAGTTCATTGAAGATCCTTTCAGTTTTGATTCAAAATTGTTGAAAATTTTGAGTTTCAAAATTATTCTCCTAGTTCATTGAAGATCCTTTCAATTTTGATTCAAAATTATTGAAAATTTTGAGAAGATACATCATGAAGATCCTTTCAATTTAAATTGATAAGTGTTGTATTTCTATTAGATACATTAAATAAGAAAGTGTTGCCCATAAGATTTTAGGTTTGAGATCAATACATTATTGTTTGGTAATTGTTATGTATCAGATACATTTAATATAAATTCCAATTTACGTATCATAACTAAAAAATTAATGCATGATACATTATTATTTATGTATCTTATTTTGTTTGAGAGATACTATATTTTAAAATTAAAAAAATACATTATACATGTAATTGTTCCAAAATAGCTTCTTTTTTGTGTGTGATACATAACACAAAATTTATGTATCAAGTACATTTATATTGAACATGATAAACACTAATCGAAGATTCAACTACATTAGAGTTATGTATCAATACCTTAAATATGAACATTATACATTGCATAAAACGAAGGTTATTGTAGCAGTGATGTATCAAATCAGTGTCTAACAAAGACTAATTTAAGACTCAAAATAAACGAGATACATTAAAAATTTGTTTCTTTGATAATGATGGTCGTGCAATGACAAATCCAACTTTTTGTTTTGGACGTTTTTCAATAGTAGATACATTAAAAGAAGATAAATATTTTTTAAGAAAATTTTTCAACGACGATATGATTAACTAAAACTGCAAAGGTTCAATAAGATTTCAATGGGCGCAGGGGGCGGAGGTAATTTTATTTTTATTTTTTAAGATGAAAAAATTTAAAAAATAATAATAAAAGAAATCGGAAATTGAAGTGATGGAAAGAAATCTACCTCTTGCATAATTTGAAATCATTAATTGGAAATAGAAAAGATTTGAAATTCAAAAATAGATTAATTGATGTAATTATGGAAAGATTTGTGGCGTGACAAAAGGAAGGAAAATCATGGGTATGAGATTTCAAATTAATGTATTCGGAAAAGGGGATGATGGAAGGAAAATAAGAAATTTTTGATATTTTTTGAAATGGTAGGGAAAATAAGAAAATATGATAATAAATGTTGTGTAGTTAAGTAATTTTTCCTTATTTATTTGTTATTGTATTGACTAACATTTTTTGTTTAACTTAATTAATTCCCAAAAGATAGTCATTTCTCTTTTTATGTTCAAAATATATATATTTATTACTTAGCTTTATTTTTATTATTTGTCTTGCAACATATAAATTATTCCCCTTAGAAGGTTTCCCTTTAGTTATTCCCCTAAAAAAAATGAGTTTTCTTACTTAGTTAATATTTTTCAAGTTAGTCAAATATTTTAGTAAAATCGTTGGTCAACCGCAAGTTAGCGGACATTTCGAGGGCCTAACACCTTCTCGAAATGTAAATTGAACTCCGAACCACTTTAAATTTCAAATGATTTTATTCTGTTTAAATCTTTTGAAAAAAAATAAATATAAGTTTTCTTAATTTCTTTAAAAAACTAAGTGGAGACTCTATTTGAAAAATCGATTTCTTTTCAAGTCATAAGTTTAGTCAATTTTTCTAAACAAGTCCATTTTTATTTTTCGAGTAAAACAGTTACAACAAAAAAATACAAACGATTTAATGGGATAGAATAAGAAGACTCAACAAAGGGGAGAAGATCATAAGGTACAAGGAACACCCAAGTATGCGAAAGATTGGGTACTCCGATAAAATAAATAGGATTAATAATAAAACACATGATAAGGGAGGAAGAGAGTTGTTTATATGGAATGGCAATGATGTACAACCAATTAACATATAAGAAGAAAACACATCATGAGCATTGAAGACAACATAGAACTATAAAAAGGGAATGCAGAAGATGTGGGTGGGCACACAACTAAAGATTACGTACAGACACTAATACTACAAAGGCGATCATAAATTAATTTTGGCAAAGAGTTAGCACTAGGAAAAGATGCTAAGGAAGAACAACTGAAATAGACCTTCTAAGAGACAAAAAAGAGGAGAAAACCATTGAGCTTATCGCCAAGACAAAATAAAAATTTACATGAAATTGTTGATTTTGCTCACCATGTGAATAATAGTGCTCTTATAGAAATGAGATACACATGAAGTAAATTCACATGGTGGAATGGGAAAATTGCATATTTAAGAATTTTGAGCAGGAATGAAAAGATGGAGATAGAAATAGCAAGTTTTTTCATTCTTATGTAAAATGAAAAAGTATCATGAAACTGATGAAAGACAAGAAGAACAGTTTTGAGAGCAGAATAACCAGACTGATTTTGAGATGCTGCAAATTAAATATCCCAATAGTAATTACACAAGAAAAAAAATATTATCTTAGCAGATATACCTAGCATGGAGGAGGTCAAGAATGAATGCGGTCTTTGGCTTAATGGACCAGATGCTGGTCAGGGGATCAGGATGTGACCAATGTGGTTAAACCATTTTTCTGCGGGCAGGAGATTCCAAGATATATAACGAAGGTACCAAGGCAACTTGGTTTCTCAGAAGTTCTAATTGATATAGTGTGGAGGCTTATTTCAAATAATTGGTACTCCGTGTCAGTAAATGGACAGCCACCTGATTTATTCAAATCGAGTAGACGTCGGAGACTTCCTTTCACCTACATTACTGTCAAGGGGTGTTAATAAGCTCAATGAAGATGATAACTTTAAGGTATGATTTACTTTATCAATCAATCATTTATCATATGCTGATGATACTATCTTATTCTATTCTGCAGATCCTTATTCAATGAAGGAGATGATCGACAACTGTTCATGTCAAATGGTAAATAATGCTAAAAGTTCATGATAAAATGTCAGTTTGCTATCAACAATACAATCAGGAGAAGAACAAGAATGAGAAAAATGGATTTTCCTTTCACATGTTTAGGATGTCCGGTTTATCATGGGAGAAAAAAAAAATGGTAAAAAAAGTAATGAAGAGTGTTATGTCATGGCAAAATAAATTATTTTCCTTTGGAGGCAAGTATGTTTTAATTGCTCATGTATTACAATAAATACCGAGAAACAGTACTTGAGAAACTATAAGCCGAGACTACATCATTGTTTGGTTAGGTGGGGGAAGCCAGTCACAGGCACAATCAAGATCAACACAGATGGAGCAAGCCAAGGCCCAAGTTCCTATGGTTTTTGTCTAAGGAATGACAGAGGAGATCTTACCTATGCACAGGCTGGGCAAATAGGAGAAACTACAAGTCAATTAAGGTTATGAGCTATTGCTACAGACATGGAATTCAAGATGCTAAGATAGAGACAGACTCAATGGTACTCAAGAATATTCTTGCAGGTATTTAGAAACCACCATGGGAGGTAGTACTACAAATAGAGGAAACAAGGCACATGATGCAAAATGTGCATGTTGGAGTTAACACACATTTTCAGAGAAGCAAATAAATTTGCAGATTATATGACAAGTCTAGCCTTTGGACATGAACTAACTATGATGGGGGGAAGCTTATCAATTCAGACAAATCTGGAGTTCCATACATCAGAATTAAGAGTAGAAGAATTCACAACATTCATCACAATGAGGGCATATAAGAAATACAGCAAAGGAAGATAAATCAAACCAGAGAGCCATCAAAACCCAGAAGCAATAAATGAATTCAAGGTCTTTTCCATACCCAACAGAGAGAGAGTGGTCAGCAAAATTCAAAACAAGAGGAGTTGAGGTCATCAGAGAAGCACAGTGAATGGAGAAGAAAACAAAGGCCATCAGGAGCATCCTCAAGCACAGATCTATTCAAGGAACACAACAACACAGCTCCAGCGGTACAAAGAAATGAAGGAACAACCATGAAAGAGGGTGAAAAACCTCAACTATCCTAAAGATGGAAGAGGAGCAAACAAAAAATAGTTTTGACTTATAAATTGGATTTGGGACCGTTCTTTTGAACTGTCATACTTTGAGTTTTTGTCTTTTTAATTCAAATAAATAAGTGACCCATCTGGGTTTAATTCATTTTTTAAAAAAAAAGTGCACCGTATGCAAAGGGTTTCCAGCACGCCGGAATGTGTTGCAAGAGCACCCTATGCAAATGAATCCTAATCATATATTGAGATTCTCTTCATGACTAGCATTGAAGCATCCTTACAGTAGCAGGACGTCCCCTCGCAGTTCAATAAAGAAAAATAAGGCCACTCCAGAAAGCTAAAAACAACTCACAAATGCAGCCCATCACGAGTTTGATTTTTTCTAGCAAAAACATGAGCAACGCGCTCTTTCTACTTTGTCAAGCAATTAGAAGAAACATCAGTCTGAGTTAAAAACAAACTAGCATTTCCTAATCAACAGATTAATAGAAATACTTCAAATTATGCCCCTATGAAAATTCCAGTGCTAAATCAATTTCTTCCTTCACATATACTCCACACTAATGGATTTAATTTAATTCTTTCCCAAGCCTCGTCCTATTTTTTTTCCCCGTCAAGCCACTCCAAATAAGCCTAACAGAAAGACAAGTAGAAAGGAGAGAAGAAATGATGACTGCACCAGTGTCAATTCTGGCAACTCCTACAACTTCTACAACAGAATCCCAACTATATACAACCGCAAGCTCTGTAGTGGTGGTGGAGATGCATCACGATAGGGGCAATAGCTCAATCGCTACGTAGTTAACAAATGCCTCCACATGGTATAAATAGATTGAATGCAGCGGTCCATTAGCCAAGTTGGTCCCTGAAGGTCCCATTCAAGGAGCAGCTGTGATAAACCAGGCAAAATCAAGTTAGAAGAGAGTGCAATCTCAGATGAGATAACATTTCAGCTGTTAAGATGCCACGCTATACGTAGTCCTACCCACTCAAATCAGTACAGAAGGGCAAGCTTTGAAGCCACTTCTGCTTCAGCAACCACGGCTACTCTCATCATGCGAGGCAAACTCATCAAACTATCTTTGCAGCACAAGCAGCAGAACATAGACTAATAATTGCCAACTTGAACCTTTTTAAGGAGATGTTTTCCAGTCAAACTGAAGGTTGTTAAAACCATTGACTGCTTCTAGACCACTAAGCAGTTGGTTTCCCAGATCTTGTTGCTGTTGACTCATGTTGCGTTCTCTCGCCATTGTCATGCCCCCTATCCCATTCATGGATGAAGGGATATTACCCAATGCAGCTCGCATTCCATTAACCATTGCAGCTTGGCCCAGTCCATTGTTCATACTCCCAAATCCAGCACCAACACCTGTACTGTTAGCATTGGCTGTCCCATTCCTAACAAGGCAATTGCTTCCATTGAGAAGAGAATTATTACTTGTTGCCAACATCCCATGTCCATTTTTTATATCATTACCAATAGTACCATTACCTACCATGCCACCGCCACCGAGCTGTGAAGACATCATCATTTCATGTATAATCTTTTGTACAGAACTCTGAGAGTCATTAGCATCCACGTCATTTGAATGGGCTGGTTGCTGCATTGATATTTTGGGGGAATTTGCAGAGTTCATGTGTTGCACTGATGATAAGCCACTGTGTGAAGCTTGTGGTGTATTGTTGGATGACGATGGTGTTGGAGATTGGAATTGAGAAGAGTTGGGTTGAGACTGAGGCATTGTACTTGAAGAATTGGGTGAAGGCATTTGGACAGCATTTCCCGAGTAGGTACTACTTCCACCATTCATTGGATTTTGTTGCCTGGAGTTCATGGAATTTTGGTGCAGTAATCCAACAACAGTACCGCTAGACGAAGTAGCAGGTACTCGGTTCACAGAGTTGTGTACATTCGACATACCATTGCTCAAAGGTAGTGGTGGTACACCAGGCTGTGAAGTCGTTTCATGGTTAGAGCTACTGACTGTTTGATGTGTATGTTGCTGCTGCTGTTGTTGCTGCTGTTGTTGCTGCTGTTGATGTTGCTGCTGCTGCTGTTGTTGCTGCTGTTGATGTTGCTGCTGCTGCTGTTGATGTTGCTGCTGCTGTGGCTGCTGAGTCTGATCCTCAGTTGATTGAACTGGACCTTGTACTCCAGCTGAAGCGCCGTTCCTACGAGGAAACTTAGCCAAGCTCTCTGGAAAATTAAGAGTTAGGCACAATGTGAACTGTAAGAATCACATGTAAAACATAAACGCCAGGAAAGATAATCAATAGTACATGAAAATGAAAAAGTTCATCACGCGCTAGTTGAATATCTACTCCAAATTATCAATTTAGCGCACACAAAAATGGTCTGCTAACATACACATCACAGGTTGACAGGATAACACTGGGCCAAACATTAAAATTGATTGATTAATGATAAGTTGAGCTCTCACTCATTTAGCCCCACAAATTAAATTTTGTTCGATTACCATTTGAACTTCATGAATGTTGGGGAAACACTTCCTCACTTATCCGGTCTTCTGGGATTTAAATGTCACAGCAAACTCCAAAGCACTAAGATATAAAACACCAAACCCTCATTATCGACAAAGACTAAACACCAAATCCAGAATGCCACTAGGAATAGTGATATATTGCAGGGCAAAAGAGGGAATTATAAGAAATTCAGAGAGAAAACTGTGCTACTGGATCAATGAGCACCAGAGAGAAAATTAACTGAACATTATGTCCAACATAAAAGTGAGCCTTAGTTTGCAAGAGTTGAGTGCCCTACTCTCTAAGTCCCCCACATTCATGCATATTGCGAGGTTCAAGTTATTACATGACAGTTATATTACCAACAAAGTTGACTAAAGATGCAACAGAATCTGCTTTGTCCCATGGGTTCTCTACTCAGATGCGATGGTTTCTATTTTCCATCCCCGGAAGCAATTTCACGGTAAAACCAAACTTGGAGCAACAGCAGTCTACCACACATCTCGTGGTGTACCACCTTTCCCATTGAACCAAAGCCCTGGGACACCTTTAAATGACAATCAGATGCCTCGTGATTGTGAAAATAGGACATAACAGAAGGGGAAAAAATCTTATAGAGACAATATCAATTAGATGGCAATATGCCACGTTAGTAGGCTTCTTTAGTTCCGCTATTTCCTTTTCCTTGAGCAGAGGGTATATCGGAAACCGCCTCTCTACATCCCAAGGTAGGGGGGTTGAGGTCTGTGTTTGCTCTACCTTCCCAGATCCCACTTGTGAAATTACACTAGGTATTTTGTTGTTGTTGTACAAAACACAAACTCTCAGGAAAACAACCCCACCTATCCTCCTATTTTAATGAGTCATTGGTCTGTCACAAGGTCATTAAATTTGAACTGTGATAAAATGAACTAATAGAAAGGTTAAGTAGATATAACTTACCCATGGGTCCGGTCCCTGTCTCCCTGCTATAGTCGATCAAATCTTTCATGCTATTAACCACTTCCGATATCTGCAATCCACGAAGAACACAACACATCCATAGTTGATCACAAGCCTCTTTTAATTGAATAAATATTATAAAACAAGCAAAATATCATTTGACCAGATGTTATCACACAAAAGTAGTAACAGCTTTATATTTGGTTTCAAAATTAAAATACTTGCAAATAAATAATCTGAATTAGAGGATCCTAAAACCAAAACTTGACTTCCTGCTAAACCAAAAAACCTTGACTTCCTGCTAAACCAAAAAACCTTGACTTCCTGCTAGAACAACATAAATGAAGTCAATTTCTGAAAGAAAGTGAAATGACCCGATTCTCCGTTACTTAAATGCATCTCGTGCGGAGTCCCAAAAATTCCTGAAATACGGTGCCAAATTAAAATTTGGGGCACATGACGAAATCATTTAAATTTGAAACTGATCCGGGATGACATCAGTCCACCGTAGCAAGAAGCCTCCCGCTATGCAGCGTCCTGACAGAATCAGACCCTAATTAAGCGGTGTCATTTATTTTACCTCCCACTTTCCAGGGAGAAACCAGACGAGCATTACTCCCAAAATCTCCCTAAGCCACTCGATTCCTGAGAACAATGGAGGAGAGGATTTTCAGTGCAAAGAAGGTTAAAACCCCAGGAATTTCCAGTCCACGTTTGTCAAGATTCACCCCAAGGATCCGAAAGCTTGCATTCAATGTTCTTCCGCAGTTGTTTGACGCCCAGGTAGACTAGGTTTTCTTAACCAAGTAGTTAGATCTGTTTTCACTTGGATAATATCTTGTAGATTGTTGGGAGATTTCATGCATAGGCCTTCGGGAACATAGTCTGAATGGTTGAATGTATGGTTAGCTATGGTTAGGCTGGTGATGGACTTGATTAGTTATTGTTGGCATATTGATGGTTGCCGGGTGTAATCCTAGAGGATAATTGGGTGGTCGGATTGTGATCAAGAGCTATTCGGGAAGAAATTATCTCACATAGGTAATAGTTGTTTATTCCGTTTATGCTATATGTGCTTGTTAATTGCTTCATTAGTAATGCATGCATGTCTATGATTAGGGAAATTGTGATCAAAGAGCTATTCCGGAAGAAATTATTAATTGCTTGCCATAAATGTGTTACTTGAATGTACAAGTGTGGTCGCTATTGTGTGTGGATGTTGGATCGGTACAGCATCAGCACGTATACCTACACATATATTATTGAATCAAGTATCATGCCGATACATATATTATTATTGGATCGGGTACCACACCGATACATATATCATATATTATTATGACATAAAAGCATTCGAGTCGCATCTCTTCGGTCTTTTAAGTTTTAGATACTGCAATGGACGTTCTTGGTTGAATGTACCATCAGTCTTAAGACTTGATAGTACAGTCATAGCAATATGGACATGATGCAGTTCGACTTGCATGTGTTAAGCATATTGTCTAAGTAGCATGATGTTCACTTCTTAGCGCTTAGGCCACTACCTAAAAGTAAGTTTTTCGCTCTTTTCCTCTTACATAACAACGATAGAGGAGTACCACGTCGGTACACTAAATATTTGTGTGGGGATTCCATGAAGAGAACCAGGTTTACTTCTTTGTGATGAGATGGTTATGGGTTGGTCCGTGAGAGGGCAATTGTGTTTTAGGTATCACTTATTGGTCCTTGAGTGGCCAGGTTGGGTTATTGAAATGCTGGGGTGACCTTTGTGCAGACCGATATAGCAAGTTAAACGGGGTAGAAGATAATTAGGGAATCCTAGTGGTTCGAGTATTGGGATGGTGTGATGAATGAGGTGTGATGGGCGGAGAATGCTAAGTAGGGATGAAGACAGGGAGTCCGGGCTATTTTCCATTTGTGGGTATAATTGTATATCTTTGTTTTTATAAGGGTGATTGTTTGTTCATGTTTCCGTACAATTGGGGCAATGTAAGGTAAGGAGTTGGCATGAGAGCTTGAGGGGAAATAGTAAATTGAGTAACAAAATTAATAATGACTAATGTATAGAAGGGGTGAGGTTACGATCGAATGTGTGGGTGGAATGACTTAGTGCCCGTTTGGATTGACTTATTTTAGGTGCTTTTAAGCCAAAATAGCTTTTAAGTAGTTTTGAAGTGTTTGGGTAAAGTTAAAAAGTGCTTATAAGCACTTATTTTAAAGCCAAAATAACAAAAATAAGCCAAAAATCATAAGTTAGAAATCCTAACTTATGGCTTTTGGCTTATGACTCATAAGCCAAAAGCCAATCCAAACAGGCCCTTAGAGGTTGAAGTTGGAGCAAAAGGAGATGGATGACTTAAGGTGACTTGTGTGAATCCTAAACATGTTGTTTTATTTCCTAACCTTTATTTATCTGCATTATATTATGTGGTGGATTCGGGTCGACCGATGATGCCTACCCGTATGTATTGTTTGTATTGATACTACTCTTGCTATGTCATTTGGCGTGGTTTGGTACTTTTGTTGCTGCATACAGTAAAGTTTCTTAGGTGAAGACAATGATGATCTCCGACAACTTTTATTACTCTTTCCTTATGGTGGGAGCAGTGTCTCATTTTCTTTTATACATTGTACTCTCTTAGTAACTCTTGTACCTGTTTAGACTAGTTCCTTGGGGGGATTTTTCGATTGTTTGTAAAAAGATATTCTTTATATTCGATGTTTCATGGTGATTTCAAAGTATTAAAGAGATTTACTATGTCTTTACAAACTTCCGCATTGTAGTTTTAAATTGGGTGGTAAGGATTCTCCTAGCTAGATGTTAGAGTAGATGCCCACCGGCTCGGTGGGCTGGCTCATGACAAGAAGATAAGAATTACCAACAGTAGGAAAACATAACACCACATATTTGTATCCCAAGAAAAAAGCTGAAGCATTATACATGAGTTAACTATACGCATTATTAACAGGAATCTCAAAATCCACAACATTAACAACCATCTCTAACCTGCTGGCTGTTAAAAGAATTGAATTTGTCTCCGTTTTCAAGTCTGCTCTGAAAACAGCGGGACAACATATGGAAAGAAATGAACTGAAGACAGGTCGATAGAACTGACTTTTAAATCAGACATAAGGGGATCTCCAATCATATTCTCAATTTTACTCTCCCAATATAGAGTTCTCTATTTTTCCAGACAATCAACTCCAACCCAAATCTCTATTTTACTCTCTAACAATCACATTTAGTGATTCAATGGATACACGAGGACTATTTCCACTACTGAAACGAAACCTGGATAAGGGACAGAAAAGGGAGAGGGGGGGAGAGGAACTCTCTATGTCAGAACAAGGTACATACCTGTAGGCATCTCACATATCTCTTTGTATATCCTAAATCATTTACTAATGGAACTTCCAAAGCTTTTGCTAATTGACGAGCTGAAGCAACAAACCTGAGGCGCAATTCGAAGTCAAAATTACAAAACAACTCACACATCGAAAGCTAAATAAAGGAACACATGATGATAGCAGATACACAATCTTAATCAAAGTTCAAGAATCAAGGAATCTCTAAACATAAGTTCACAACTGAATGCTTACATGGATCACTTATGACTTTTCCAAAGGGCATGCATATGTTTACATCCCTCGCCCCACTACCCACAGCTCCTGAGATTAATGTTATTCCATGTGAAGAAGATTTATTCCTCTCCCTTTTGTAGGTTCAGAGACCAGATGACATCCCTAGCTCCTATCCCCCCCCCCCACACACACACACATGTCACCATAACACTGAAGCGAACTAATTGGAGAAGTTTGATGAGCATGAGAGGACTAGAATTTAAATCAACACACACGCAGGTCACAGTCAACATCCTCAACCCACACCCCAAAACCATGTTCAACTTTCAATTAAACAAAAAAAAATTGTATCAAAAGAAAGTAGACAGCCATGCACCTAAAAGCACACCATTGTGGTAATTTATTTATCAGCTAGACATTCCTAATCATGTTTCAAGAGCTTGAGCTTCTAAGGTTCAACAGTATGACAAATTGATCATACTCCATTACACTAAATTCTAAGCTACATCATCCGACAATGGTAGACAAGAAAATATGTACCCGGTAAATCACTGAATCAAATGACAGTAAGTTTCAGCTTTAAGAAAATTATTGGATTGCCAAAAGCTTACTAGGGCAACTCATTGGTAGAACATCTTACCTTAGCATCCAGAGGCTAACCTAAGCTAAGAAAGGCAACAGCACCAGTAAAGACCATCAAAGCTCAATGCCAAAAACAGAGCTGTATAAAATGTGAATTACAACTAAATCCTATCTCATCATCACTGCCCACTAATGACGGCGATCTAATAATTGGGCACAGCTAACCTCTTAATAAAAAGGGTTAGATATCCAAAATCGAAATTGCTAGGCAACAACGACCATTCAACAAAGTTAGTCTATTGCTAACCTCTTAAAAATGAGGGTTAGATATGCTAAATAGAAATTGTAAGGCAACAAAACCATCAAACAATGTTATGGAACATTGCCAACCCAATACTTAGAATAACCACCATAGTGTAAGTATCTGGACTTACATATTGCAATTATTCTGCAACTCAGAAACAGACGCACTAGATGAGGCATTTTGGGTGGCGGCCTGGTACTTTTGAGCTGCAGCACCAAGTTGACTAACCTGTACAGGAAATCAAAACAATAAAAGGCAAATCAGAAATGATTCAATAGCCCCTACCTTATATGCAACATCAACACTAAAAAGCTAAAACAACATCCAGCTAACGTATATGCTAAAACAACTAGATGCCACAGAAGTACAATCAAACGCAATAAATTTAGAACTACTTCAAAGAGACATCTAAAGTAGAAAACCTGATCCACTCACCGTCAATGTTATCAAAAGCGCAAAAAGCTCTAAAGTTCATTGGTGCTTTAAGCGCAAAGCGTAAATAAAGTGTGGGCATTATTGAGAAAAAGCACAAATGGAGAAAACATATATATAGAAATATTATTTATTTATTTATTCATTTATATGACCGTGGTGTACGGACCAGCTTTCGCGCACCTCGACTAATCCCAGGGGATACCTGCCACCTCCAACTAGCAACATAACCGTTTGATTGAGTGTGGAAACATCCTCTTTCATTTTTTTCAACACCTTGTCTGACCCTTCCACTTTATTTAGAATGCGTGCTAGCATGTCTTCCGTACGAAAGAAGTAACTCTGTCCACCAAGGCTAGGACAGTTAAGAAGAATCACCTAGTGTTTTTTTGTCTCCACTGAGTTTTGAACCTGAGATCAGTATTCTCAACCACTTCATTGACCACTAGGCCACACCGTTTGGGTGGTATATATAGAGAGAGAGAGATGGATAAAATCAAGATTAATAATTATAAGAATGAATAAAAAACATATGGGCAAAGAAATTGATTGTTTTTACAATAAAGCAAAATATCAATGGGTTGCGTCGCCCCTTCAGGAAATGTTCATTCACAAGGAAAAGTGTCTTAGAGCCTTGATGACGACATTGAAGTGCACATTAAGCAAGGTGAAGTGCTCAACGCGTTTTGTGCCTTGCTTCAAGGCTTAAGTGCACCTTTGATAACACTGCTCACCATGCACAAGATCTCTTTAAAATATTGTACTAACTGCCTAAAACGAGAATTATTTATACACACACATGTATACAAGTATCAACTTCATATATGCGTACACACGCATGCACACACTTATATATAAGCTCTTCGATGGACCTAATGTGTGTACCAAAACATGAAAAATAGCATGACAAACACAGACTCTTCAAAAATGTCAACGGGTTCGTGTCGAATTCTCCAAAAGCAGTGTATTTATGGAGATCCGATACGAGTGTGGCATCAAATTGAAGTGCCCGCACAACTTAGACCTACGGAACAAAAGTCAATAGATCTATTAAGGCAGCATGCATAATTAGATGTCACCTCCAAATCAATGCTAAAATTGTTCGGTGGCACACATAGAGAGACTATTTGACCAAGCTGCTAAAAATTGTTTATTTTGAGAAGCATTTTCTTTAAAATAGTTTTCCCAAAAAAGTACTTCAGGAAAAGCAATTTGTGTTTGACTAGTTCATTTTTTTTTATAACCGAGAAATTCGTCTGTGATCCGCCCTTTGGACCAATCACAGCCTTCTAAACTCGGTGGATAATGGGCCCGCCCCTCTACCCTTCTCCACTTAAATACCGGGCTTCGCTTTGCATGGTGTGGGGCATGAACCTGCGACCTAAGCCACAAATCCTCCACCTTTTGCCACTCAAGCTAGGCCTTGGGGGCTGTTTGACTAGTTCATTTTAAAAGTGTTTATTTAGTATTTGATAAGCAAATTATGTTAGGTTAATCTTCCTAAACGAAAAATGTTTTTGAGTGTCAAATTACGAAATATCAATGCACGTTAAAGCGGGTACTGTTATTTAAGTAAAATAAGAAGACATTAAAATTTTCAATCAATATAGTACATATAGATAATCAATGAAAATATTAAATATTAGTATAATATTAACATGACGATTTGAATATACAAAGAAACATCAAGCAATTATATATTAAATAATCATTCCTCAAATTGAATCACCATATATGGGGAATTTACCACAAAAATTAAGTAAAATCATTCATACGACAAAAATTCACTACGATATATGAAGCATATTAGTAATTAATAATATTACTCTTTTTTAACAAATAGATAAATAAAAGACAAAAAAAACTCTTACATGAAATGCATGGATACTATACTAAAAGTCAAAAGGAAATGGAATATTCTAAAACTAGTCAATTATTTTCTTCTATTTTTAAAAGAGAAGGAAATGGTTGTTCAATAATAAAATAGTAATAACTTAATGAGGGGATATGCTTGATAAGTATGTATTTATGGGGATATTTTTGTTTGAAAATAAATATTTTGCTACTTCCACCTTTTTCAAGAAGCAGAAATTTTAGCATGTTCCCAACAACAGAAAAACTGATTTTGCTGCTACTTAAAAGCACTTTTACTTATTGGCCGAACACTTCAAATTTCAAAACAAGTGCTTTTGACCTCCAAGAAGCTTGCCCAAACAGGCACTAATTCATTTAAGTAACTCATAATACAAAGATAATAGTTAAAGCATGAATCATTTACTTGGTTATTCGACAATGAGTTTTTATCATATGCATTTATCAGATCCTAGTTCACTATACACACACTTAAAAGCAGGAAAATAAAATGAAAAAACTGAAGATAGTGCAGCTCTAGGGGAAAATTAATGAGTTTTGGGTTAACCGATTCAAATCTAGCTTTTGTTTTTCTTTTCTTTATTTTAAATTAAGTTGTAGCAAATATGGCGCCAAAAGTTCTTCACCCCGTACTTACTGCACATTGACAACCTTGGAAGCTAACACTGAAAACCAGGTACTTAACTATTATAGCATATTTAATTAATTGTCTCTTGGAAATCCAGACGTTAACATTATTAGATAGCAAAGATAGAATTTTTAAGTGAATCACCAGCATGCTACAATCACATTTAAAGCTTACTTCAGTCCATGTTTCTTTACTTTGTTACTTGAAGTTGAATTTCTAACATTTGTTTTCTTTTTTGTAGCACACTTTTATCATATAGTACTTCACTATAATACAGGCATAAAAGCCAAAACAGTAAGATAACAATATGAAGGTCATGAAATGAATTCGGGGTTTACTAGCTTAAATCTAGCTTTCATTTGTGTTTTGTTTTTTCCAATTGAGTTGGTCCAATTTGGTGACCAAGATCCATCACCAGGTACTACTCTTTTAACAATCCTACTGAGAGAATTTGATTCTAAATTTCATCAGCGAAAAGGACTTCTTGATATTAGGGATTTGAAGCCATTGTGATTGAATAATACCAAGGAATTGTTAGAATCGCAAGTGATCATATTACAAGCACAACGATTTGACTCCTTTTTCCAAGTCCTCAATTTCCATTTTGAAGTCGGAGCTTATTTAAATTATACTTTGTATCCAGTGATAACACAAATTTCTCTTGCACAACTTAGAGCATCAAAAGTCCTGTTCCATGGACCTCAGATAGCATCAACATCATCCAATAAAACTGTTCTGATTTTTCTCTATCACATCTTAACTATCCCGTAACCATAACATATCCAAATCATTAGGCCTTGGCCAGGGTTAGAACCTTCTACCCAACGCATTTCAAATTGTTCCTCGATAACAAGTTCAAAAGCAGAATCTACCTTTGTTTGGACTTGAGCAAAAACCAGTTCGAACTCAGGTAACCAAAACAAATTATTTGGTTTCAAAAACACAATGCAATACACCAAATACTTCAAAGAACAACATTAAATCCAACCATGCAATAGTTTTCAAAAAATATCTTCCAGAGACAGATCCTCCCCAAAACTGAAGAGAAAAACAAATAGAAATGCCCTAAGTTGCTCGGACTCGGGTGCGGGTATCCGAGACGGATGCGAATCCGAGTGTCGGATTCGGCAAAATTTAAATTTTAAGATTCGGGGGTGCAAATCCGAGTATGGATACGGGTGCGGGGATACGGCTAATTGGTATACATGGTATATATAATATAAGGTGTAATATATTATATATACATGGTATAATTGTTTATTATTTTTAGAGTACCTCGAAAAATAAATTATATCAATAACAACAATAATAATATATCTAGTATAATCAAATAAGTGGATATATATATATATATATATATATATATATATATATATATATAAAATAAAATATTATTAAAAATATTTATGAAATATATTTAATAATGAATTGCATATTTTGGTATAATTACATACAAAATAAAAGGAGTATAATTGTTAAAGAAAAGAGAGAATATAATAAACATTAAAAGTATTAATTTATTTTATAAATAAAAAAGGACACACTTATCTAGAGAAACCCTTAGCCTTTAGTTTTCTTTTTCAAGAAAAGTTGAAAAGACTTTACTTTTTCAAAAAAATAAAAAAGCTGTACTTCCTGTACTTTTTCAAGAAAAAACTCCTCCTCTTTCTTCTTCTCTTTACTTTTTCAATGAAGAAAAAACTCCTCTTTCTTCTTCTTTTTACTTTTTCAAGCTTCTTACAGCTCCGCCGCCTCTCTGAAGAGGTCGCCGGAAACTGATCTCTTTTTCCCCAAATTTTTTTCTCGGCTCTGGTCAAAGTGTCCGGATCGGATTGACCGAATCCGACACGCACCACGCACCCGCACCCGCACCAGTGTCGCGTCGAGACGGGTTCGCCTTCAAAAATGAAGAGTCCGCGCAACATAGGAAATGCCATATGAATAGTCAATCCTTTCAATTAATGAACAGAAATTGCGACCACAAACTACTAACTGGAGCTTAATTCATATAAAAAGCAGTTTAGAGCTGTCTGTCCAGCAGCCCTTACCGTTTCAATATCACGAGATGAGGATAGAGAATAAGATGCTTCTAAACCATTCTATATTGCTAAGAAGAAGAAACAAGTGAAATCAGAAAAGAACAAATATGCAACTGAAATCTTGTACTTCCATCTATATTGAACTTGTACCAACAGACAAGAAAAGGAAATAGTGACCATATAAATACTCACACGACCATACTCTCACCAATTACTTAAATAATGTCGATAATAAAGATCAATCACACCGAATTAGCACATAGTTCCAGGTCAATGAAACAAAAAGGCTTCTGCCATAGCAGATGTGGAAAGAAATTAGATGGAAGTTCTTTACATCTCAAGTAGAGTTCATCGAAAAGCATCTTCAAATTTTTTAAGGGAAAGAGCTCAAATATGCCATCGAACTTTGACAAAAGCTCATCTTTGCCATCCGTTAAAAGTTTGGCTCATTTATGTCATTTCAGTTAACAAATAATGGCATGGATAAGCCTTTTCTCAAAAGGAAATTGCATAAATGAGCCAAACTTATGGCATAGATAATCCTTTTGTCAAAGTTCGATGGCATATTTGAGCATTGTTAAGAAGTCCCACATCGAAAAAGGGATGGAAAGTTGGTCTCCTTTATATGGACTTGGGGTTGAGTAAGGCCCAAGATCCATCGTTACAAGCATTTCCCCATTTTTTAATGAAGTAACTTCAAATTTTTTGGAGGAAAAAAATCAACCCACTTTTTTTTACCTATTTTTAAACCTAGGCCACCTAAAAGTGAGCTATCAATGAACAGAAGTGTATGATTTCAAATCACAGTTGAAGCATGACTTCATTATACATCCGAATGACAGTTGAAAGGTAAAATTGTTAACCTGAGGTATCAACAATCTTCTGGGGATAAGCTCCTCATGACGTCGTGCACAAAATTCCCAAGAAACTATCTGCAAATAGATACAAAAGGAATCCAGATCAAACGAATGATAGCATTAATATGCACCATGCTAGGTCTCAACTGTCCATGAATAAGCACTTCACTGAATATAAAAGTATCAGCTCTTCAGTTAACCTTCAAATCAGGTTGTGAAAACACTAGGCGAAGCTGACCATCACGGACAACACGAAGTTGCTCAAAGACACTCTCCTGAATCGCCTTTGCATAATCTAGGACTATTTGCCCAGATGAATTCTGATATTCACGGGGCATATCGACATAGAGAAGTTCTTCCAAAGTGCCACTTTCATACTTTATCTTGAAAAGCCTGGGCAAGACCTCAGCAGTTGCTTCTGAGAAAAAATGAGTTGACATGTATCAGATGCTGAGAATTATCAGCTGAGAGGAAAACCAAATAAATAAAGATGAATTAATTAAATAAAGAGCTTTGTAAAGCCACAAAGTTTGTTAAGTGCTTCTAGGACCAAAAAATAATTCAAGAGCTTGATGCTGCAAAGAACATACCGAACCCACGGCCTGGCTTGCGGCTGCATATTTCGCAGTGCCACACATCCTGCAAATTATACAATATTGATCAAAGATATAAACTCATTTGTTAACAGTTGTTCTACAGTTAATCAGCAGCATTTATAGAACAAGCTCTAAAAGGAGTATCTGAGCTAAATATAATACTAAACTTGTAGCATGAAAGTTATTACAACTCCATTTTCATTTGATGGGAGACCTAAAAAGCATTACAAAAATGTAAATAGCTTCCACATAAGCAGTGAACCTGAGGAAAAACTCCAGTAGTCTGCCGACCACTTCCATACATAGAGACACACCATTTTTTCTTGGCATTGGGAGCGAAATACTCGGCGACAAATTTCCTCCAGAACTCAATGTTATTGTCCTGTAAAGAGGATAGAGCAATTTGTTAGGGAAAAAATTGATATCATGCTTTCTTTATCATTATCTGGGCTGGCTATGGGGTAGGGTGTAGTGCATAGATGCCACACAATGGTATAATTGACCCATTCTTCTTACTTCGGGTCTATGTTGCTGCTGATACATATAATGAGTCAGCCGACGAGCACACATCCCGGGCTCATATACTGGCTTTACAGGAGGTCTGACAGCAAGATTCTGAGGTTGAAATTGTTGTTGTAATGGGTTACGTTGTTGAGGGGAAGTCTTCAAGAGTTGATGATGATGCTGGAACTGCATTAGCCTCTGCTGATGCAAAAGCTGTGCAGCTGCAGCAGCTTGAGGGGATTGCCTGGACATCTGAAGGAACTGCTGCTGTTGTTGCTGATGTAGAAATAAAGATGGATCTGATTGTTGTTGTTCTACTTTTACAGGCGCAAGATCTCTCATACTTTGAATCTGTTGTGGTTCCATTTTAACAGGTGCCAAGTTTCTCAGAGCTTGCAACTGCTGCGGTGTTTGATCATTAGTCACCTGTGTCTCCATTTTGACAGGTGCTAATCCACCACGCATGGATTGAAATTGATGCTGATGTTGCTGTGTTTGGGAATTCATAGGGGAAGAAAACTGCTGCAACTGTTGATTATGTTGAACATTCTGGGAATCAAGCTGTTGGGAACGTTGTTGGTCAGTCAACATGTGGTTACCGGAGGGGTTAGGAAACTGCTGTCCTTGAACTTGACTGCTATTTGGATTTGTCGCCATGGCTGATGACATAAATGATGTTGAAGGAGCACTAAAACCCATCCCATTTCCTACACCAGAAAGTGGATCAGTCTCAGCCCCATTATCAACAGGACCACGCTGAGAACTTCCTGGTCCAGCCAGCCCTGCATTAGGACCTCCATTTGCAAAGGACTGATGTGAAACATTGGGAGCATTCCCTAGCATATTCATGTTACCAAACATCGTTCGAGGAGAAACCATAGAAGGGAAACCACCTGGTGAAGGCATTGACCCCCCTTGACCACCCATTACACCGGAATTTGTTCGCAGTAATGAAGAAGGTACTGACTGGGAACCGCCAAGTGGATTAGGAGGCCCTGTTGGAACCATTTTTCACCAAGAAGTACACAATCTACTAACACTTGAGCAACTATAGAAACTTCCTAAAATGGCATAAAAGCCTCAAGTGACTACAGAAAACTGATAAAATGGCATCAAAGCCCCCACTAAGCTGAAGAAACTTCAATTGCGCTGAACAAGAACTAGGCAGAGAACCAAGCAAACCCAATAATAGCGAGCGATTACTAGATGGATCTAAGGTAGACAGAAAGTTTCCATTTTTTATCCAAAAGATGGAAGTTTGTCTCTGAAACAACTAAACCAGACTTCTTTCCGCTCAAACAACTGTCTTTTGCTGCATCATCCACTGCAATAGTTATTCAATTTTGTGTCAATTTTTCCCTCCCTTCCGATGAAGATAGATTAACCCTACCCAACCTTACTTTAAATCATCTAATCAGAATGATGTTTGCTTTAAATCATCTAACCAGAATGCTGTGCACACAAAACCCCAAATCTCAACAGTTTTAAAGACAGAAATCAAACTTCATTCCTATCCCTTTTAGAAAAACAAATTCAGAAAAACAACCGTCAAGAGAATATTACCCAAAAACACCCAAATTTTCAAACTCAGAAAATAAAAGAAGCTGAAGTAATTGATTGAACACTAAACAAAAAATAAAAAACAAAGCAGAAAACTTATACAATCATATGAACAATTGATCAAGCCCTAAATCTCGCAATAAATTATTAAAATAGTGGATCCAAAGCTCAAAATGAGCAACCTGCAGCTAGCTTTAGAAAACAAAAAGACAATTTCAACACCGACTCACCGAAGATTGAGTATATTCCTTACACGGAACTACAAGCACAAAAAACACACAAATTTTAGCGTCACCTTTTTGAACTTCACTGTGCCTCCAGTAGATAGATTCAGCTTCTTTAGCTGTATTTTTTTTTTAGAGAGAGAAAATTGATGAGAGAGAAAATGTGTTTACGGACGTCAAAATTGTATTCAATCGGATTGAATTTTCTTCTTCATTCCTTCTTTTCTTTATCAATTCTTCTCTTTCTCTCAATTAAAACGAAGTCAAATCTCTTCTCTCTTTTTTTTTATTTTCTGAATTAATCGATGGCCCCTAAAGTTGGTATAAGCTTTCACTTAGATACGTTAACTAGGCTTGTTCATTTAAGCAAAAATATGTTGTGGGTGTAAAGTGTCAAATTAATTAAGGATGTTTGTTATTTTGTTCAAAATAATTCTTGAATAATAAACTTTTCAATTACAAAAAAGAGACGCTTAATAAATCGATGATACGTTTTTGTCGGGCTTTACAACATTAGAGAAATTGAATGTCAATACTTGATTTTCAATCTTAAACCCTGAAAAATGGTGACATAAATTATGATAATAGTTAGTAATAATTGTGAATTGAGTGAAAAACAAAGTAATCAATGTGATCGGGTGAAGTCGAAGAAGTGAGAAAATCGAAAATAGAAGTTTAAAGATCAATTCAACTTTTACGACCTTACTTGAACATGATTTGTTCTATAGTCTCGTACCACTGTATCCTTGATTTCTAAGGAGATAGGAAACAAGTCTGGTGGATGAATCATGGTCATTAGACTAGAGCGTGATTAACAGCCAACCATGGCCTTCTTCGGGTTATGGTGCCGTAGATGATCATTCTCAACTACGATCATGGAGCTTGGGATGGTCTAATGGTTGTCTGACAAACTTCCAAACTTTTAAGTTAACAAAAAAATCTTTTAATTTGAAGCAAATATAAAACGTAAAGGCTTTGAGAATTAGCATAATATAATTGGTCAATTAATTCATGTGGACATGATTGTGTCACACGCGCTTGTGGTAAATAGGAGACTGTGCAAAAAGTGTCAATGACACAGCGGGATCCTAAAAACATTGCTCAATTAAGCTATCTAAGTGAAACTTTGTGCGAACTTTAAGGGGTTACACATAGATTAGACCTTTTTTTAATGAAGATAATAATACAAAAATATTTAATCAATAATAAAAATCAGCCAATAGAATTCAACACTTTTTGAAAGAAACTTGTATAATTGAAATTAGCAAAAATTTACCTAAATATCTCAGTCGATCACTTAATATGAGAAATTATGTAGCAAAGTCATTTAATTTATTTTGTATCAATCAAATTATTTGACTTTAAAAGAAATTTTTAGTAAAACACTCAATTAAATTTGTCATATCAAAATATTTATGTCATGTAAATATGAATTCCACAATAATTTTAATTTAAAAAGATCCATATCTTATATACATTTTTTATTCCACATTAACTAAATTTGTGAGTCGATGCATATATTAAGGAAAATATTTAAATACACAATTTAAGTCATACTTTTCACAATTGTCTTTTGTGAAATCATAAATATAACTTTGCAAGTAATGTAATTTATTTCCTAGAATATACAATACTTCAATAAATGAAAGGGCAAATATGAAAAAAGTTTCACACATTCATCCTAAACTTTGAACAATGCAATGATTTAGAATAATGAAAAAAGTCTCAAAAATCAAGTTAATATGGAATAGAGGGAGTATTAGAGAAAATCCTTATTAAAAAACAAACATATATATATATATATATATATATATATATATATATATATATATATATATATATATATTACTCTTATTTAGAAATGGGAGTTTGGAGGACCAACATTGCACTAAAGAGTTGGACTAAAAGCTATATGTACATTGAGACCCACCAAAAAGATTAACTATTCTTTTTTTCTACTTTCCATTCTCCCCTTTTACTCTCTTTAGTTTATCTTTCATCTTAAATTTTTCATAGATCTTTAAAATATTTTGAATTATTAATTATTATGAATTATAATGTTTTGATTTTTACGTAGTTTACAAATATATAAAATTCATTTTAAAAAAATTGAAGATATCATACGCAAATTTATGGTCAAACTTAAACTATTTGATTCTTGAGAAATAAAAAGAGTCACATAAAATGGGACAGACGAAGGATAACTCTCAATTAAATTTATTTCACTTTTTAGTTTCCATTTTTAACATAATTTTTGAAGTTGGATTTCTAGGAATTCTATAGTAGACCCATTTAAATTTGACTTTTTTGTTTTAAATTAGAGAACTTGGTCGCACTTCGCACGATCATTAAAATTAAATATTTTTGATTAATTTTATATTTACTCTGTTGTTTAATCGTAATATTATTATTTGTTTTAATAATATGGAGATTGTGAAAAAAATAAAGCTTCACAAATTTTACATCTATTAAATGAGGAAGAATATATTTTTTATCAAATAAGTTAAAATATATTTGCTAATAACAAATTCTTCCATTGCATGAAGTTGATCCTTTAATAAATAATATATATTCCGGTGTACCATTCTCCTTAAATGTGTAAGAAATATCTCATAATGTCAAATAACACTGTAATACTCCCTCTGTCCCTAATTACTTGTCCACTTTTAAATTGACACATTTATTAAGAAATCAATTAATAACATAGTGAGTTTATCATTTTACCCCTATTAATTATGAAGTAGATGAAAAGTTCTGCAATTTTCAAAGTACTCATTTAATTCAGGGTATAATAGGTAAAAAAATGCTCTTTCTTGATTTGTCAAAATGGACAAGTAATTAGAGACAACTATAAAAGGAAAAGTGAACAAGTAATTAGGGACAGAGGGAGTACTAAACAAATGCATCAGCAAATGAAATTTATATTAAAAATATATTGAATGATGACGTAATGATACCTTAATAGAATTTCCTATCCATTTAAAATAAAAATAAAAATTCACCCTTTCAATTTCATTATATCTTCTTATTTAGTAGAAGAATCATCATTTATTATATTCTACTCCACCTTAATTGTACCATCAGAGTTTTAAGAATAAACATTAAATTTTAAATCGAAATAAAAAATCATTGAAAAATGACAGAAAAAATAATAATAGTATATGAAAATTAAAATAAGGTGCAAGAAAAGCCTTTTCACGATAATTTCTTAAAATATATTGATAACAATTAAAATGAAGCTGTTATTTTATCTTTAAAATTAAGTTTGATTGAATTGAATTAGTACAATGAGAAAAAATATTAAACTAATAACTTTTTAATGTTATTAAATGCATTTTCTTTTTAATTGAGTAGTAGATTAAAAGTTCTGAATTAGGATATTAAAATAATATCTTACTCTCTCCTTAATTATTATGGTATTGCAAACATTTATTTTTCTTAAATGGTGATTCATTTTTCATTTACAGTTATATCCAATTAATTTCTAATGTATTGAATGTGGTTATTGGATATTGAAATAATATCTTTATCTTTCCTTAATCATAATAAAATTATAATTTAACATTTATTTTTCTGAAATGATAATTTTGTTTTAATTCCTAGAACATATTGTTTACTATATTGAATGTAATTATAATAAAACATATTGTATTTAGTATGACAAAAGAACTCAAAAATTGGAGAAATTAGATAAATAGTAATCTTAACTTCTAAGAAATGTCACATCATCATTTACATATCCAACTTTATATATATAAAAGAGTTAAAAAAGAAAAAATAAGTGATTTAAGAAAATTATATAAATAACATTAGTGATCAGATGAAGATTAAGAAAAAACGTCAAATAAATTAGTAGTTTTGATGATGATAAAAGTTAAATAAATCATTTTTTCTATTATTTAAATTTTTAACATAAAATTTCCAATCTTTAAAATTAAAAAATAAAATAAAATTGAGGCAATAATTATTTTAAAGAAAAATATAACCAAAATTGTCAGAAAAAATTGATAAAAATAAATAAGTATCTATTACTAAGAATGGTGTCACTACATTTTTTATTTTAACTTTATTGTTACATATGGATAGAAACTTTTAGAAGAAGAAATGATTCAAAAATTTAAAAATAATGATTTCTTAAATGGTGATTCCTTTTCCATTTACAGCTTTTCAATTAATTTTTAATGTATTATATATGGTTATGGATATTGGAATAATAATTTTATCTTTCCTTAACCATAATAAATTATATTTTAACCTTTGTTTTTGTGAAATGATAATTTTCTTTTCATTCATACAACATATTCATTAATATATTAAATGTAATTATAATAAAACATGTTGTATTTAGTATGACAAAAGAATTCAAAATTTTAAAAAATTAAATAAATAATAATCCTAACTTCTAAGAAATGTCACAAATATATATATATATATATATAAGAAAATGATATAAATTACATTAATGATGAAATGAAGATTAAGAAAAGAAGTAAAACAAATTAATAATAATATTGATGATGATAGGAGTTAAATAAATCATTTTTTATTTTTTGTAAATTTTCAATATAAATTTTTCAGTCTTTTAAAATTAGAAAATGCTAAAAAAATAAAACTAAAACTAAAAATCGAGGCAACAATTATTTTAAGGAAAAAATAACAAAAAATGTCAGAAACATTGATAAGAATAAATAAGTATCTATTGCTAAAAAGGTGTCACCCCACATTTTCTATTTTAGCTTTATTATTACATATAGATAGA